CGTGAAATATGAATCATAAAAAGGATGTCCAGCCAGTATTGGCACAACGACCACCCTCATAAAGTACACCATTCGACGCAGAATTGAATTCTGCATCGAACACAATCATTTTTACACCCATCACTAGTATAGAGGCGAATGTCTGCAAAGAATAATGGCGAATACCCGAATTTCACCCAGTACTTCACGGAGAACCCCCAGTTTTTGGTTGATGACCTCCATTTCAAATGATACCATTCGACGCAGAATTTAATTCTGCATCGATCTCAACCGATTTGGATTGGATCGCAAGTGTAGAGGCGAATGTCTGCAGGAAATACTGGTAAACTCCCGGATTTCACCCAGTATTTCACCCAGAACGCCTCCGTTTTGGTCTAAGAGTCTCCACCCCCTTTGTCAAATGGCACCACCTGATGCAGAATTAAATTCTGCACCTGTCACAACCACTTTCAGACTTATCACAGGTCGAGAAGCGAAGATCAGCAGGAAATACTTGAATCTGATGATTACTTGCATTACGTCACTTATCATCTTGTTGAGGAAGTTAGAATTACTATATTAGCTAACATACTTTTTTTTTAATTTTTTTTGGGCTATTTGATAGAGTATGTGAAGGTACATTACTGGTAAAAATTTCACATTTTAATTCGGTACCTTTATAGAGTTATAGATCAAACAATCTTTATCATACACTCAAAAATTAGGGTTAAAAAAACAATTTTTTATGATAGGCAGTGCTCGTCAATAAAGTAACTGAATATGATGGTTTTAATTTTATTTTATAGAGAATAAGTAGTTGTATATACAGCAAAAATTTGGTACCTATTCATGCAACTATAGCTGAGATATTGAGTATGATACAACACAAAGGGTCAATATTTTGTTAAATATGACCTATCTCTTAAATCATTGATTTTTTTCTAAAACAGAAAAAGTCCACGTTCTGGTTTGGTGATCATGTATCCTCACATGGGTCTCTACCAAAAAATAACTGAAAGAAAAGAAATCTTGCGGGGGGGTATACGCACCACTTCCTTTATAAAAATGAATTTGACGCAATCTAACTTAAAGATTTATTGACAAATCATGTCCATAAATTTTCTTATAAAATTAAATCTAACTTAAAGACTAAATGAAAAATAGTCTATAAATTTCGTCATCAAATAAAAATCTAACCTAAAGACTAAATGAAAAATAGTCTATAAATTTTCGAATGAAAAGGTTCAAAAAAATTAAAATTAATAAATAAGTTATTTTTAAACTTATAAAAATGAATTTAGCGCAATCTAACGTAAAGACTAACAATAAAAAGTTAGCCTATATACTACCTAAAAAAATGGTTCCGGAAAATAAAAACTCAAATAAAAGTTTATTCTAAAAATTAAAATAGAAATTATCGGGATGGCCCAACTAAAGACTAATTATTAAAATTTAGTCTATATATTTACTAACCAAAAGAATTCGGAAAAACAAAACTTAATAAAACTTCTATTTTAAAAATGAGAACAAGAATTATTGCGATTTCTAACCTAAAGACTAATTGTAAAAAGTTAGCCTATATATTACCGCATGCAAAACGATCAGAAAAACAAAACCTAAATAAAATTATATTTTGGAAACTAAAATAAAATATTATCGCAAATTGCAACCTAAAGACTAATTATTAAAATTTAGCCTATGTATTAAATAAAAAACGGTTCGCAAAAATAAGACTTAATAAAATATCTCTTTTAGAAACTAAAATAAAAACTATCGGGCATTCTAACCTAAAGACTAATTTTAAAAAGTTAGCCTATATATTAACTGATAAAAGGGTTCGGAAAATGGAAACTTAATAAAATTCTATTTTAAAAGTTAAAATAAAAATTATCGCGTTTGCTAATCTAAAGACTAATTGTAAAAATTTAGTCAATATATTACCTCACGAAAAGGGATAAGAAAAATAAAAATTGAATAAAATTTTGTTTTAAAAAATAAAATAAAAGCTAACGCGAATTTTAAGCTAAAGACTAATTCTGAAAAGTTAGCCTATATATTAACTGATAAAAGGGTTCGGTAAATTAAAACTTAACGAAAAATTCCATTTTCAGAAATAAAATAAATTTTATGGCGCAGCCTGACCTAAAGGCTAAATGTAAAATGGTAGCCCATATATTAACTTAAAAAAAGGTTCGGAAAAATTGAACTCAAAGAAAAAATTTAGTTTAAAAAATAAAATGAAAATTCTGGCGCAGCCTGACCTAAAGCTAATTGTAAAACGTTAGCCCATATATTAACTTAAAAAAGGGTTCGGAAAATTAAAACTTAGATAAAAATTCTATTTCAAAAATAAAATAAGTTTTATGGTGCAGCCTGATCTAAAGGCTAAATGTAAAATGTTAGCCTTTATATTAACTAAGAAAAAGGGTTCGGAAAAATAAAACTCAAAGAAAAATTCTGATTTAAAAAACAAAATAAAATTTATTGCGCAATCTGACCTAAAGTCTAATAATGAAAGTTTTGCGGATATATTAACTGAAGATAAAGGTTCAGAAAAATAAAACTTAGCAAATATTTTATGTTTAAAATTAAGAAACAAAAAATTATCGCGCATTGAAAACGAAAGACTGATTTAGAAAGATAAAGCGATCAAGTGCCTGATACAATGAAAAACTGAAAGTAAACACTAACTGAAAAATCAAGCGCAACAACTTTCTAATAAAATAAAAACTAAACTAAAGATTAAGTAGAAATCAAGTCAATAAATTATTCTAACAAAATAAAAACCTAATTTAATAACTAATTCAAAAACCAGCTAAATAAATTTTGTAAGAAAAGAAAAACCTAAACTAAAGGCTTATTCGAAAAATAAGTCAATAAATTTTGTAGTAAATTAAATCCTGAATTAAAGACTTATTGAAATCAAGTCGGTAAATTCTGCTAATAAAATAAAATACTAAACTAAAGACTTAATGAAAAACAAGCCAATAAATTTTGTGAAACACGATCTAAAAGGAGTGTTGAAGTGTTTAGGGGTAGAAATTTGCACCCACTACCCCCGCGCCCCCCCCCACTGACGTGACCGATCATACATCACAGACACTACCGACAGGGCATAACAGACGTGACCGACAAAGCATCACTGACGTGAGCGATATAACCAGCAAAAATCGCCGAAATATCATGGAAAACAATGACAATCATGACCGACAAACCTTAGTACGCCATCACTGACGTGACCGACAGAGCATTGTAGAACAATGTAGACATAACCGACGGATGTGACCGACACATGTTTTTTTGACCTCGTCACAGGCGTAACCGACAAGACATCAACGACAATGACCAATATGAACATCATATTTTCAATGACAGAGATAAACGTAAGCTCAATATTTGTAAAATAGTAATCAAATTAAACTCAACAATATTTCATCGCAAAACTTTATTAATACCAATAAACAAAAAAAAAATAAAAATGAAATTTTATTCGTTAAGAGTTGATAAATCTGACTTTAACGAGAATCTATAAAAATAAGTTTTAATAGATTGAGAGTTAATGGAATTTTCGAAGGGTGTAGACGATGCAGAAACGTGATTATTGATGACTTCATTTAAATTGTTAACTTTTTCTTGTTCTCGTTTTAATCTTCTGTAGTTGCGATCTTTTTCTTGACGTTGATTTTTTTTCTCATTCGATAGATTTAGTCGATAACGACGTTGTCGTTCTCTATTGGCTATACGTGTTTTAACGATTGATTGAATTGTTTGTGTTTTTTTAGGATTTAATGTAATCTTAGAAAGATTAGAGAAACGCCATTTTTTTGGTAGGTGTTTACACGAATTTTATGTGCTTCAGAATCTTGTTGTAGTTGACGCTTCCGATAGTTACGCATTCTCCGAGCATGACCAAGAAGAAAGGTGTCTTGTTTATTTGATTTCATCAGCGTCGATAATATTATTTAATACTAAAATAAATTTAAATCAGTTGAGTAAAAAAAATTTTTTTTAATGATTTACAAGTTCATTTTATTACCGCGCTTTTTTATATAAATCATTTAAATTTTATATATAAATATACGCACTATTAATATTAATTAAAATACAGATTTACCTTCTTTATCATATTGAATCTTAAATCAAATTATATTGAAATAAGATAATAAAATAAAATAAAAATGTATCTCTTCTTCATGTTAATTTTTAAATGAACTTATATAATAATAATAAAACAAAATTAAAAAAGAATTTATCTGTTTATTCAAAGTGAACGTTAAGACAAATTAGATTAAAAGAATAAAAAGAATTTATCTCTTCTTCATATTAAATTTTAAATAAAATTACATGATAATAATAAATTAAATTGAAAAAATTTATCTATCTCATCAGGTTCAAAGTTACATACACTTATATTAAAATAATAAAATAAAATAAAACAAATTTATCTTTTTGCTCATATTCATCGTGAAATCAACTTATATTATAATCATAAAATTAAATTAGATCAAACAAAGATTTTTCTTGTTTTCAAAGTTCAACCGTAAAACAAGTTGTATAATAATAATACAGTAAAAATAAAGAAAAATTTAATTTCTTCCTTAGATTGATTGTTACATGAAGTCATATTTAAATAATAAATTAAAATAACAACAAGATATATCTTATTGCCCAGATCAAATATTAAAATAAAATTATACTAAAATAATACTTTAAAATAAAATAAAAATCTGAATCGAAAAAAAAAGTATGATTAATTTAAAATTTTGATAATGTATTTCTAGCTCATATATAATCTTGGATTAGGTGAATCTTAAAAAAGCTAGCTGAATTCAAAGAAAAATAAAATACACTAATTAAAATCATATTGCTACTTTAAAATTTAAATAATCTTTTTTATTTTACAAATCAACCTTTCTGATTTATAAATTTATACTAAAGCATACTTAAGTGAGCGGTGAGCTATTGTTATTTTAAAACTTAAAAATATCGTTCAGGGTGGCTCGAAAACGAAAGGATAATAAAAAATGGCGTGCTAGACCATCACGCAAAAAATCACATAGAAAAAAGAAATCCACTCAGAAACCATGTCAAATTCGTAAAAACAATTCTAAAGCATCTCGCTCAACGAAACCATCTCAACAAAGAAGAAGAAAAATCGATAAAAAAAATGACAGTTCTGCTCCATTAATAAGTCTTGAAACACAATCAACTGAAGAAGTATTTGATACACGAATCATACACACCTTTCTAAGTGAAAGGTATGATAAACTTTTACATAGTAAAATTTATAATAATAAAATTCTATGATAGATATTTATCCGAAGTTCGACAAGTATGGCTTTCTTGTCAATGTTGTATATGTGAACATCCAGAATGTAATATGCAACCAGCAAAAAAAGAACATGAAAAATATCATGATTGTGTTGTCAATGATATGATCTGTCTATTTTGCTACGATTTTATTCCAAAAGATGATAGACCGTTTTGTCCACATTCTCACACTCGAAATATGATGTCAATTCCTATTTCACCTACATGTTTAAAACTTGGTTTTCTTGAACAACGAGCAGTGGCACTTATGCATTGTTATATGAGTATACTTATTATTCGTGGTCATCAATCAGCAATGAAAGGCCAAGTGGTACACTGTCAAGCTGATATTACTGATAATATAGGTGACCTTTTATCATGCATTTAAATGTAATACTTGTATCTTTTTTAAAAATTTTAGGTAACCTCTTACCATTACCAAAATGTTATGAATTTATGGCTGTTATTCAACAAAAACCATCCAGTGATAATAATGAAATAAGATCCACAGTACGATATCCAGTTAGTGCTATTCAAATTCTTAAAGCACTACAATTTCTAATTCAAAATCATTCTGGATATTTAAATAAACAAGTTCTACCTTTAAGAAAAATAGAAGAGATGTTTGAATGTAGACATGAAAATGTTGCTCCTATAAGAATTATTGATTCGTATGCTTATAATAATTGTACAACGTCTGCACCAATTGTTCTTGATGCTAATGAAGACTTTTTTGGTCCTAGGTATAAATTAAACTTGTACTCTTTTCCGTATATATGTTATATCTTTTTATAAAGTCGTACACTAAAAGCAGGTGAAGATCCTGTGTGGAAAATTGAATCTGGAATGGAAGAATGTACATTTCCATGGATTTATCCTACAGGTGAAGGAGG